AACAAATCAGATCTCTACATATGGGTCAGCCTGAAATAGATGCACATGCACATGTTTTAAAAACCAATCAGATCTCAACATAGTGTCAGTCTAAATTCATTAACCAATCATATTTTAACATATATGTAGGAGTTAGGCTAGAGAAGAGATTTATCTCCATATGTTTCACTATTATTAACTAATCATATCTCAACATATCTATGGGTCAGTCTAGAATAAACATACAATTTATAGATCACAATACTGATGAATAATATGTGGAGAAAAAGGATAGGGTGCCTGAAATTGACTTAGGAACCTTGTAGTAATAAAAGGATGGGGGTGACTCCATATATAAAACAAGTGCCTGCGGTTGTATGTCGATGCCATACATAACTCTGATGATACAGTGAATGTACATACAACAGTGTTTTATATATATATATATATATATATATATATATATATATATATATATATATATATATATATATATATATATATATATATATATATATATATATATATATGTGTGTGTGTGTGTGTGTGTGTGTGTGTGTGTGTGTGTGTGTGTGTGTGTACCACTCCACTAGTATCATTGGGTTGTAGGTCAATGCCACAGATAACATAGACTCCAATGATACACTGAATGTTCAACAGTGTTATATATATACATACCAGTCCACTAGTATCAATTGGCTGTAGGTCAATGCCACAGATAACATACACTCTGATGATACAATGAATGTACAACAGTGTTATATATATACATACCAGTCCACTAGTATCACTGGGCTGTAGGTCAATGCCACAGATAACATAGACTCTGATGATACACTCTTCTGGGTCTGCGCTTGGTAAATTTACAAAGACCTTGGAGGGCATCTCCTCATTAGGGTCAGAGGGCAAGGGGTACACTCTGAATCCTCCCTGTAAAAAAATAAATCATAAACCATGATTACCTGTACAATGTGTGAGTTTGAACAATTTTTTTTCTGTCGTTATGTTGGCTGTAACCTTCACCTATTATAAAAATCTTGTCACCATGTTTGTAACTGTTTATGTTTTGTTCTGATAGCTGTGACCTTGACCTACTGACCTTGAACTCTCCCACAATACTTGATTCATCTTCATCATCGTCCTTCCCTCTTTGTAACTCGAAAGTGGAGCAGAGATCAGTAAATCCTTTGGTAAAATCTACGTCCTCCAGCGCAGTTTGATAAACCTAAATAATAAAACATTTAGAGCAAAGGTAACATAAATGTGTTCTTGGAAACTTAATGTAATATTTACACAGATCTAAATAAATATAATTAAAAAATCATTAAAAGACAGATGTAATGATAGATACCTAAACATTGAGATATATCATGTATATAACTAAAATGTAGTCAATTACGCATAGCCTTTGTCAAGGCTAAATAACAAAATTTCCACTATGTTGACTACTAGCTAGAAGAGTTACATGTGCATCTATCTCAAAAACTGTCTCTCTTATAAACAGTACTATAATCCCTCAAGTTGAAATGTGCAATGTATAGTTTTGCTCACCTCGATTTTATCGTGGCCTTTCTCCACGTACTTCTTACACTTGTGGGTCTGTCCCGTGGAGGCGTAGTACTTGGACCACCAATCTATCTCCTCCTCTACCACAGGGTCAGGCTATTAATAGAATCAAAGGTTGACCTCTGAGGTCATCTACATCACATTGGGGTGAGAGTTTATAAAGAACAGTAAAACCTACTCTTGGTTATAGTGAATACAACAGTTGATGGAATTTCCTAATTGCTGTTGCTTAAAACACTTGACTTTCTCTTTTTGGTTCCTTTAAGCATGCTAATGCCAGTTTTTACCATTCTTCTTTGTTATTAAGGGTAAGTAAATACAGTGCATATATAATTGTGATAATTATGAGAAAACTTTTACCATACAATGAATAATCATTTAGATTAGTGCATTTAAACTAGTTATTGTGATGCATATTTTCAGGATTATTATCAGTTTTTAGAAAATAATCATTCCAAATACAGAGTGAAAATGTAGACCAACTTCATAAAAAGAATTAATAAAATTCTGAAAAAGGTTTATAAGTAAAGTGTACATTAAATTGAAATGTCTTAGGTGTTCTTTCAGAGCATGCAATACATGTATAAATCATAGAACAAATATGAGGAAAGAAGTAAAATACAGTTGAAAGGAAGCTATATCGTCACATAAAGAAGCTTATTTATAACATACATTACTTAAGTATTATTTTGTCATAATTTTGGTTGTACAAAATGAGCTAATTTTATATGAATGTACAATAACAATTACTTGAGTTTTTTTAATACAAACATGCTTAATGGAATGAAATCAAATCACAAATCGTTAATCAATGAAATGACAGTATTTATTGCAGAGCAATGAGTAATGTGTATCAGGAAATGTAATATTAATATTTACATATTATCATATTTTAGCTTCAAGGGAAAATTGTTTAATGTGAGAAAAAAATCTTCTCTAAATATTGGCATATAAACCACTGGAAGGGATTTTTAAAGAGTGGAATTACAATTTGTATGAACGAATGCGTTACAACTGAATGATTAAAATATATGAAAGAAAACAATAAAAAAATGTGCATCACTAGAAAACATAGCCCGTGTGCTCCGTTATCAAAACAAGAAATCATCAACATAGTGGTATTATTGAAACAACCCCGCTTCAAATTATGTTTTGTTCAGAACCCAATTTACCAGGTTTAGGGAAGTGTGGGGAAAAGTGAAATGTGTTAGATACATCAAAACCAAACAGAAAGAATAAAACTCACAGCAAATAGAGTGTTTCCTCGCAGATAACACAATTTCTGAGATAATGAATTAACAGGTTTAGTCATAAATCTGAACAATTTCAATGATCTGTAAGTTTGTCATATCTCTCTTTCCAACAATCAAGTCTGACTGTAAATGCTTACATCATGTACATGGCAAACCTTAATTTGTACTACAGCCATTACCGTATTTTTTTTTTTGTTATCCTTGTTCTTCTTTATAAAATACTTCTCACTAGCAAGAGCTCAATGGTTATCATTATATAGTATTTCCAAAACAAAGTACAAGACCTTCATGACAGTCTCTGACCTTGACCTTTTGACTTTATAAGTAAGAAGCCTTTACTCATGACTTAATAAGTATGTGTTACATGTACAAGTATGAGACTTAAAATTATTTAATATAATAGATTATTTTTATTTTACATTTTGTGTCTTAAACTTAGGTCAAATCTATCACAGACATTAATATTGAACTTTGATCCTAGATTTAATTTGACCTTGACCCTTGGGGAAAAAGTCATATGAAAACGTTTTTTGCAAGGGGATATTCAAGTTTTTATTCTTCTTTAAAGATTTTCAAAGAAACATAGTATTGCCAGAATGTCGCCAGAAGATCTAGGATTACCAATTAGGCATTTTTGAGCATGCTTAGTCATTTACTTTCTCTTTTTAAATAAAATGGAGGGAATTCAAAGGCAAGCATGTTTTGCTTCAGTATTGAATGGTATCAAGTTCATTGGAGTTGTTAATTGTGTACAGTAGGATTATACATGATGACTAGTAAGACTGAATAATGTGGAATAGCCAGAAAAAAAAAGAATTTTAGCAGTTTCCATGGCATGGCCTTTTGAAAGAATTATAGGAATGTTTAACTTTGTTTTCATGGTATATACATATCAAACTTGGTAAGTCAAAACCATATTCTTTTGTAGATGAATGATTCCACGGAGATAAAATAAGAAAAATTATACGTATTTCAACTAGTGCTTGTGATGCATGTATACCATACTTGTATGTCTAATATATATCATACCATTGTTGCAGGAAAAGATGAATGCATGTTATCAATTTAATGCATGAACATATATAATTAATTTATTGCATAAATCTTAATACCTGCAAGAAAATAATGATTCTATATATGTGTTGGAAATTGCAAACAAGCTATATATTATACATAATACTGATTAATTGGCATTGGGGAATATGTGATGGGCAGCTAATTAATTAGGTTATTTGAAAAATGATGCAGAGTTGCTGTACATTTTCACAGTGGCATATTGATATGTTTTATATACACATTTTTTATGTGCCGGGATTGATTAGATTGGGGGTGCATATTGTTTTTTGTCGTGTCTGTTTGTAAACTTTAACCTTCGCCATAAGTGATTACTTTTGAACCAATGAGAGATTGAGACTTCATATTTGGTATACATACTCCACTTATTAAGTCCTTTCAAATGACACCAAGGTCAATGACCTTGTGACCTTGACTGTGATCTGTATGCTAAAAATAATTTTTAATTGAATATTCGCCATAATTTAAAAACCATGAGAAATACAGACTATAATTAAGTATGCATGCTCAACTAATTTAGCTAGGTCTTTAAAATGACACGAAGGTTTTTGACAAGAACGTTGGCTGTGACCTATATGCTTAAAATAGATTTTTTTAATCTTCGACATAACTTTTGAACCATGAAAGATGGCAACCTTATATTTGGTATGCATTCTCCACTAATTATGTTCTTTCAAATGTCATCAAGGTCAATGACCTTGTGAACACAGCTGTGATCTATGTGCTAAAAATAGCCTTTTTAAACCTCCACCATAAATTTTGAACCATTCGGGATAGAGACTTCATATTTAGAATGCATATTCCACTAATTAAGTTCTTTCAAATGATACCAAGATCAATGACCTTGTGACTTTGACTGTGAACTATATGCTAATAATGGTTTTCCAAACTTTGTTGCCGCTTGTTTTAAAAACACATCTTTTTTCAACACATTTTTTCTATCTTTTCAAAGAATAGCATAAGCTTAAGTAGCTATTTCTTACTGACTCTGTAGCCTATTATGCTATTGATTTTTATGTTCCTCAGCACAATCTGTTAATTGTTAGACTGTTAGATAATTTTTTCTAGGCAAATACCAATTTATATAGGTAGTACTGCAGTGTTGCCCCAACATTGCTGCAGCAAAACCCGAAATAATACATGTACTGCAATTGCTTTGCAGCAACATTGTCGCAACACCTGTCTAGCAATATTACCGCAAATCTAATTTATATACGAAAAACCATATTGCCGCAATAATGCTGTAATATACTGCCAGAATGTTGTTACAATATTTCCGCAATATTGCTGCAACACTTTTCTGGCAATATTGCCGCAAATCTAATTTACATACGAAAAACGATATTGCCGCAATATTGCGGCAATGTATTGCCAGAATTTTGCTGCAATATTGCGGCAATAATGCCAGAAGATGTTGCCAGAGGGTGAGTATTTTGGTAAGGGTTGTCCCTCCAAGCTACGGGATACGACAGGAACAATAATTATTAAAAGGGAATTCTATTGTCAGGAAACCACATTAAAATATCTCATTCTAAAGATCAGAACAAAAGATGATTTATGAAGTTGCATGACTGCTTAAAGTTTATAGAAGCCATGATTCAAAGCAATGAGGTATATCATATACAATGTATTCTATATCAAGTATCATTGCCAAATGTCCAGTCCAAAGTCCCCGTGCCAGATACAGGGGTAAAACATCACCTTTATACGCTGTAGAGCACTGTCCAGTTTGGATCTGGCTTTAACAAGAATTGCCTTTCCTGTCTGATAGTGACAAAATAACAACAGAACATAAACAAACCCTTTCTATCAGCTAGGATGGGATGATGATGATACTAGTTAGGACTATATTAGACTGAAATATGGACTGTGTGGGATCATTTTAAGTCTTCTTGTACTGTTACTAATATCACCAATAACATACTGATTTCTGGCTGATTGCTTAGTGAGTTTGATGTGACTTATAATTCTACATGCACCCTTTCAAAATATGAATATAAATGTGTTTTTACTTTCTGTATTATACTACTTTATTTTTTTTAAAGAGATTAATGAAAATAGTGTCAAAGCTAATATATATTCAAGATATACAATTCATAACTCAAATAATACATAACCCAATTTATTTATTTTAAAGTTATAACAGACACGTTACCCCTTTTATAGTAAAATTGACTCTTGGTATATTTACTTTTTATTACACCCAATACAGGTTTTTCCATATGCGATATTGCTGACGTCACAATAGCCGTATCAGCCCTGCAGGCTGATATGGATTTGCGGGGCTGATAACCAATATAGCCCTGCAGGGTTGATACGGCTAATATTGTGACGTCAATATCACACCCTTAGTAAATTAAACCACAAAAACAGTACTTGTGATCATACAAAATTTTTGATGGGTTCATATTCTCTTAATTTTAACTTTTGAAAATAAGATTAATCTTAAATTACAAATACAAGTAATATATTATTTTCTAATTACGAATCAAGTGCATTGAAATAGAAGTAGAAACAAACCCAACTCGTATGAGACAATAGACCATGTACATGTAATTATGTAAGAAGTGCAGGTATGATTATTTACTTATTTTCTTCTCAATTTAATGCATGCTGTATTTTATTACTAAGTGTGTAATAAACATATTAATACATACCCTTTTTATAAAACATAGATATTGTGTCTCGGATACAGGATGTAATATGGAAAAGGGTATATCTATTCTCTATATAAACAGAGAATATAGAATATCAATATCCAATACAATAATTAATACAGATTGAAGCTAAATTTACTTTGAATACATTCTCTAGCAGAAAATAGTTATATATTTAAACTGTAATGGATAGTAAAACAGAAGACTTTCTACTCAGGAACAGCATATTAATATATTTATAAAATTTGTATCATAGCTAATTATTATCAGAGCTACATTATGTTGAAAAATTAAAGTAATTTTTTATTACATGTTGATATTTTTCTTTTCTAAATTGATTGTTACCTCTTTCTTCTTTTCTTCCGTCGGCATCTCAATCACATGCTCCCCACTGCGGGCCCCATTCACAAGTCCTCCTACAAACCAGCCAATCAAAATTCTCTCATGTGACAAA